GTCTCACAGGAACAAATTTTGCTGGACCTCCTAGGTCTGGATCCCCTTCAAAGTTAATTCCTCCAATGGTGGTTGCCTTTCCGCCACAATTTATATGTAATGAGTACTGATCTATTCAGTAACAACCAAGAAAAAACACCACATAAAATATAATTAGATTAAAGCAAGTATTTGAGTAGATAAATGAAATTAAAATAGTCTTATCAACCATTTTCCATCATATCATATTTGACTTAAATTATTAACCTAGCTCTTCAACAAAATCTGCACTAAATTAAATAAATAAAAAGCAAACTCCAGTTGGGTAAGTACAGCATATAATATTTGAATGTAAATGATATTTTGTTACCTTTTGGACAAGGATAGCTGTTCAGGCACTCTCCAAATAGTCTAGATAAGTGTAGTGAAAATCAGCTTATGTAAATTTGAAGTTGACAGAATGAAAAGAAGAAAAAAATCGCTTCATCACTGAAGTAAGTTAGAAGCTTACGAGTTGTCTCGTGCAGAAAAGCTTTTGAACAAGTTCCTGATACGTGCGAAATCAGTTAGGTTCAAAAGAAAATTAAAGGTGAGTGAAGACAGAAAACTGTGCTGAGTATGCCAACTGAAGAGAAAACTGTGCTTACAGGGTTTCTCTACAAGAAGCTGGCTCAGAGCTCTGAGAAAAATTATTGTACGAAACATCTAACTGGCTGCACACAGATATAGTAAAATTGTAAGACTCCACCAGAAACAGAATGTGCATCAGACCTCTAAAGAGGTCAGGAGATTAAACTCCACTCAAATTAAGAAGTTCCCGTAATTCTAAATATATCTGGAAAATAAAACCCAAGCAAATCTTATATAACATGGAAAACATACTAATGACTATCTCTGTTCTTGATCCAGTCTGGAATAGACCCAGTAAGCAAGTTGCTTGTTAGATACCTATTCAGAAAGCAGTTACATAGTCACATTCAGTTAAAGTATATCATCACTGTTTCAAAATGCCAGTTACATGGATGAGGATATTCCAAAAAGGCCCTATGCATCGTGATGTATCACGAAAACACAACATGCATGAAATTTACATTTCTTACAAGTACTGCAAGTTTGTCAGGGTCGCTAATAAATCAGGGATGTCTCCTTCCAATCTGTTGAAGCTGAGATCTCTGCAAGAAATAACAAGAGTTATGTTTAAGAATCCAAAGTTTATTACTTGGATGCTTAACTGAAAAAAATTGAACTCATCAACCAACTTGTGATCAAGAAACTATTAAATAATTGTCTGCTGTTCAATTGAACAAGAAAAAAAAAGAAATGAAGAAATATTACAATATTTTCAATGTTGTCATTGCTGATATATAAGCAGGGATGCGTCCAGATAAGTTACAGCTCCTCAGCATTCTGCAACATAACTATCTATTAGCACAAGTGCAGCTAAGTGTCGACTAGTCTAAAATTATAATTAATAAATAAAAGAGAACATTTTCAAGACTTACAAACTTCCCATGCCTGTCATACTACTCAAGGGTGGAAATTCTGAACCCGTTCCATTTATGTCACTGATCCTTCTGCATTTAATTGCATCATGAACCATTGTTTAAAAAAGAATAAAAAATCCCCGTTATAGGAGGCTATAATTAAGTAATAAATTAGTGTTAATGCAACTTAGGATTGAATGCAGAACTCACAGTTCTGTTAAATTACTCAAGGCAGAAATGTTAGACGGAATGGGCCCTTGGAGACCACTAGCTTGGATCTCTCTGTCAACAACAGAATTCAAAACGAATAGATGTTACACCAGAAAATTTCTACATCCTAACAATTTACAATATGGGATAGAAAAATCACTTACAATTTCTGAAGTTGCTTCCAGCTTTGAATAAAATCAGGTATTCTTCCTGTGAAGTTGTTACTGCTAATCCTACTGCATAAGGAGAAAGATTGAATAGCATAAAGTTGAAGATTTATTAACATGCCAAATTTATAAAGTAATTAGAATTAAAGCAATGTTAAGGGTACAAACACTTACAGTTCTGTTAACTTAGTCAGATTAGTAAGAGCCAGTGGCAACTCTCCTGTGAGATTGTTTGCACTAAGAATGCTGCAGATACCAATGCCAACTTATCAACTGGTACTTGCATATTCAACTTATTTCATATTTAAAAATCAAGAATTAAACAAAAGAAAACTGAGGGTGAAAGGGAAAAAAAAAAAAGAAAAAAGAAAAGAGGCTTACAGATTGTTCAAGTTAACCAATTTCCCAAGCTCAGGAGGAACAGTTCCAGAAAAGTTGTTATTCTCCAAGCTCCTGAAAACAGATTCTCCATCATCACACTAGGCTAAAATCAAATGAAATTTAAAATTGATTTTGACAAATAATATGAGGTGGTAAAGAGAGATAGAGCCAGAGCATACATATATATTAGGGTGCTTATGTTTCCCAAGTAGCCAGGGATTGGTCCTGATAAATTGTTCACAGTAATGGACCTGCACAGTGTACACATTTTGTCAGTTCAGTTAATATAAGCTATTATTGGCTAACCTTGCATGAAGTTCAGAAATCCTTTACAGATATTCCAACTTTGTAGAAGCCCATTCACGCGGTATAGTACCGGTAAGGTAGTTCCTGGTAAAATCTCTGTAAACAAGAGTAGAAGATATTAGTAATAACATTACCATTTGTGGAAATGATATAAGAAACGTTTTCAGATGATAGATGCTATTAAAAATAAAAAAAAATAAAAATTTACAACTAAAAATGTTTCCCTTACACTCTTGTTAGGTAGGGTAACTTTGCAGCAGATGGTGGAACTACACCAGCAAGATCTTGCCCTTTAAGAAAACTGTATCACAAAAATGTCAGAGATCATGAGAACATAAAGAGTTCATTCTGAATCTTCTCCATAGAACAATAATGAAAAATGGATTGAAATGCTACACAAGATAGTTAAACCAATAAATAAACAAACAGAAGATGAGTACAAATAAAAGCTTTCAGTTGACGTACATGCTGACAACATGGCAGAAACCATCAGGGTAGGAGCAGTTGCATATGACAGTGTTGTTGTATAAAGGCAAGTCAGCAGATTTTGGGGTAGCCCAATTTGTATCATTGCTGCATGGATCTATGCTGAAGTTCCAGTCTTTTTTTCCCACTTGTGTTGCTATTTCTTTTAGTGCTTCAACTGCGCAAACAAATCAAATCATGAATCTTTTTATTTTTCCATTTTCTGTGTTTTTTATGCATCAGCCGAGTTTATTTTTCATTTTTTAAAGAAAAGTAGAGTGATTGAGCCTGACATTGGCCCAAATTAATGTTGATGCCAAAATACTAATAGTGATTGGGCTTGGGTCTTCTGCCACCCACCATTCTAACCTAGTAAACTTCTCTAGAAGATACAGATCATGCTCTGTCTCTCTCTCAATCATTGAATTTCATATCCATTTCCAGTTGTAATGATGAAAGAAAATTCGGGTCCAACTTTTTAGCTTCTTTCATTTCATTTTCGATTAAAAATTTGTAACCTTTATGCTTTTGAATGAATATAAATTTAGGATGAAAACAAGTTCTTTCTTTTTTTAAATCTTTTTTGTAAGTTTATATCTAATCTAACCAACATGTAAAATTATATGGGTTCTAATTTTTGTTTATACTGACAAACATTGAACTGGGAGTGCTCTAACACAGTAACACTAGAAAGGCTAAAATGTTCTACCAATTCCCAATCAAAAAGACCAACTTTTGCATTTAGCACTCTGTTCTCCGCTGTTCAACACAACTCGAAAAAAAAACACAGGATTCATTTTTTTGAAAACAAAAACTGAGGCTTTAGTGCATAGATTTTGAGTATCAGCAATACCAACTTGAAAAAAGATTCGGAAGAAGAAGAAGAGCCAGTAATTACCTTCTGCAGAAGCAAGACGCAGAGATTGTGCTTCAACTTTGACTGTGGATATGCAGAAGCAGAGGACCAACATGGCTACCAAAATGACAAGGTCCATGGTGGCTTTTGAAACATCAAAATGAAATCTTGCCATATCAATTCCCTGATATCTGTATCATCCTTATTCTTTCTTGGCTCAATCTCAGTCTCAATCTCTGTAGTTAATGAAGGGTCCCTCTGAGCCAATGGACTTTTGATGGATGCGTACAAATTTATTATGTCTCTGACTTCGAACCACCTAGTTGGCCGATTTGATTACATTATTGTCGAAGGATGTGTTTTGCTTTCTTTGACTATGAACAGTTTTTCATTTCTTTTTTGAGGGTTTTTTTGTTGGGGCCCATGAAAAGTTTCTCGAATCCTTGTTTGGTACGTGAAATTTGACAACATGGACCCCTTTGATTAGTATCCACTTTGTTTAACATGTGCCTTAATCTTGTTTCTTTCCATTTATATAGGCTATTTTTTGTTTCTTATACAAAAAATCATGAGATTAGGAAAAATCGTACACACAACCCTAAGAAATAACTTTACATACAAACTTTTTACGCGTTCTTAGTAGAGAGCTATTTTACTCAATATCTGATTAATTTCTTTGCTGTTGATTAATTGAAGGGTTAATGTCATATACCAACGGGAGTTGGTCCAAGTGGAAGAGGCTTGGATCCTTTAAACAAGAGGTCCTGGGTTCGATTCCAGGTGCTTGCGAATAGAGCAGACTTTGTTGGGAAAGGTCCCCGCTTTGCGCCCGACAGTACCTCGAGGGTTAGTCCCCGTAATCGCACGGGGATACCTTGGTTTTCACCCAAAAAAAAGGGTTAATGTCATATCCCCATTTCGAGTTGGCAGTGAGCCGTTTGATTCTGTATAGCTTAGACCTTCACCTGCCCATCGCTATAATATATTATCAACTTACAACTGTCTTGTTCAGATTAAAAAAATATCGATCATAATTGTCTTGTCAGAAAGAAGATTAATATTTATTCAATGATGCCAGGCTCCCACTTTCTTCTTATTATTTAAAGAAACAGAATTCATAAAAATAATAAACTGACTAAGCTAAAACGTATATGGTCCGGGGAAGATTTCTGATCTCGTAATAAGAAGTCAAACAAAACAAATAATAATAATTTCATGTTTTTATTGGCCACGTTATATATATACATATATGTAAAGTCTCTGGTTGAATTTTCTGTGGGAACTATACATAATTAGTCTCTGAACTGCTGGTCTGTTTTATACTGAAATAGGATGTGAGAGCATGATGCATGCATGTGTAGCATGCTAAGCCATGCCATCAACCCATCAACCCATCAAGTAAATTTAGCTAAGTAATCAGAAATAGTAATATACTGGTGGAAGTTTGATACTATTTCTGATTGAGTTTCTTGATAGCAAAAATATGGACAAGAGAGGTCAATTGTGCATGGCAAACCTTATCTTTTCAAAAGTTGATAAGATTATGACTTGCTCAATTATTGATAAAATATTGTTAATCTAAAATAATTAATTTATTGTTATTTAAGTAGGAAAAAAAAGTCAAAATCATTGGTCGGGTCAAACAATTCAACCGGAACCATTGCAATTTCCAAATCCCAAACACATGCATAAGTCGGAATTGACCCAATCTCACTTCGAGTTTGAGGTGTTCAAACTTTCCTCTCCCAGCTCTAATTCCTTAGAACTGAAACCGATGCATGCCATGCCAAGTGGAATCGACAAATTGATCTTGACAATTGTATCGTACGTAAAAGTTGAAGGGCTTGCCAAGTGGAATCGACATATTGATCTTGACAATTGTATCGTACGTAAAAGTTGAAGGGCTTTGAATCACTTAAAAATTCATGCCTTTTTTCCCCACTTTGCTCAGCTTTGTCACATAGAGATAGAGCTCGATCTTTATGTATTTGCAAAAACCCATTATTTTTATTTGAAAAGATATGTACTACTACTAGTTAGTTTATCATTACACGAGCATTTGCGTAGTCAAGCGCGAAGAAATGTTTATTGGGAAGAGTTTCTGGGTAGAACTTGACTCTAAAAACCGACTTGTAAGAAAATAATGTTTAAGAGCTCATAAACCACTCTAGGATATGCTATTTTTCCAACGTGAAATCTTGAGGCCTAGCATTTACATTAGCAAGAACTAGTACTGGGATTGATTTTATAGAGATCAGAAGACGTAGTAGTAGCAGAAGAACCAATCCATGGTGCATCTGATGATGAAGGAGTAAGGCTCTGAGTTTGACTTGGATTCTGTGATGAATTGTGATCAAACTGGTTTGTCAAGGCTGTTAGCCTCAGTTCATCACCGTAAGTACTTGGATCCGTGACCAATTCTTGAACAGGCGTACGCCCTTCAAGCATACTCACTACTGCAGACATGGTAGGCCGAAGCGCTGGTGCTGCATTGATGCATAAGATAGCAACTTTAATCATCCTAATGGCCTCTTCCTCACTCACATCGGACCCCAATCTTGGATCCACCAGCTCCAATAATTCCCCTTTTTGTTGTAAAACAAGAGCCTGAAATTTAGCAGAGAAAAGAGATTTGAAAATGGAAAAGCAACTCATAGAAGGAAAGAAGGATGACCAAGTTGGAAGGACTTTGAATGAAGATCCATCTTACCCAATCCACAAGGCATACAAAGTTCTCATTTGGTCGATATTTCATGTTGCTCTTTCCAGCAACAATTTCCAATGTAACAACACCAAAGCTGTAGACATCTGCTTTGTAGGTCAAATAACCCCATAGTGCATATTCTGGCGCCATATATCCTCTGCACACAAAAAACGATTGTTTTCCTTAGCTGGGTGGAGAAAAGTTCATAAACAAAACGATGCTCTGAAATGCAGTTCAGAGAAAAAAAAAAAGCAGTATAGCTTACATAGTTCCAGCAACTCTAGTGCTAATGTGGGTGTTCTCCTCTTCGTCAAGCTCGGCCAAGCCGAAGTCCGAGATCTTGGAGTTAAGGTCTCAGTCTAGTAATATATTTGTAGTTTTAATGTCTCTATGTACGATCTTCAGTGCTGATTCCTCATGCAAAAAATTTAGACCTCTTGCTATGCCTATGCATATTTTCTGCCTTGTAGGCCAGTCCAATTTTAAAGGACTTTCCTCCGGAACTGCAACAAACATGGATTCCCAATCAATGATCTCATTTTTGTTTTTCTATACATCATTTCAGTTTTTTGTCACTGGACTTGACAAGCTAGCTTACCGAACAAAGCACGTGCAAGGCTGTTGTTTTCCATGTATTCATATACCAACAGTAACTGGTTTGATTCAATACAGCATCCATACAATCTAACAAGATTTGGATGTTGTAAACCAGAAATCATGCCTATTTCATTCACAAATTCCCGATTTCCTTGCTTTGATTTGGATGATAGTTGCTTAACTGCAATTATAGTACCATCCAATAATATACCCTGAAATAAATACAGTTTAGTAGTTTTCAAGCATGATAAGTATAAGCCTATAAGTAAGGAACTAGCTATATGATACCTTGTAGACAGATCCAAAACCGCCTTCCCCGATTTTGTTTAGAGGATCAAAGTTATTAGTGGCGGCTTTAATTTGCTTGAAGGTGAAAAAACCAGTTTGCAGATCCAGTCCTCTCAGAGCTATCCACAAAACAAGGTCAGAATATATTGGTAATGTCGTTGAACTTAGTATCTGGGTATGTGTTTTCTAGCTAAATGGCATTAGAAAGAATAAGACCAAAGTACTACTTGAAATTATCACAGTAACTTAGTGGCACCTTTTTCCCTAGATATCTTGCTATCCAGACAGCCTTTCCACCAAAGAATGCCGAAAATCAAGAAAATGAGGAACAAGACTGAAGCTCCAACTGAAGCTCCCACTACAATAGGTACCTTGCTTTTGCTACCATGAGGAGGCTTGAACTCTAGCAAATAAAAAAGTGAAAAGAAAAGATCAGCAACAGAGAATACAAGTTTCAGTTCTATATATGAGATGCCGTCATATGTCCGGTATATCAATTCATAGCAAGATCTTGTAGGATGTTGTAAAGACCAAATTGAGATAGAAAGATCGAAAAGAAAAAGATAAATTGCACAGTTTCTTGTTATTTAAGGTAAACAAACTTTCCATCTGGGTACTTCTTCCATTAGTATACTGTACTTGATGTACTATATATATTCCAATCTATTGCAATTAACATACTTGTATTTTTGGTACATTTCCTGTATGGAACGAGTACAAACAAGTAGGATATAATAAATTTTTTAAACAAACTTAAGATTGTGTCCATGAGAGAGAGTTAATGTTTCCAATTCAGAATATACCAGGCTCTACAGAGATAGCAGATATAAGAGGACCATATGTTCCTCTCTTTGGAGAAGCTGTTGTCCCTTTCCCAGACCAATGAAATCGGATCTCTAAAGTTTTATTCTTAACCTCAACTGCTTTACGTTCCTTAATGAGTTCTTTATCAACGCCGTGTGCTTCCTTTTTAATTTCAAAATCCTTCCACACCAGTTTCTCCTGTAACAAACTTATCAATCAGAAATCATATTTTGTTGCATATAGTGTACAAACAGTATGCTTGACTACCTGAATATAAATATCAAATATCCGTCTTCCAACACTACGAAAAGATCTATTGCCTCTGATCGTTATCTCCGAAAAGTGAAGTTTCACGGTGTAATTGCCGTTTCGAAAGCAGCGTGCGTAATACGTGAGAGAAAGAGGAGAGAGGCGTGCATTTGTGTACAACTCAGAGTTGTTCATTCTAAGTATAGATACATTATTTGCAATGTAGTCTTCAGCAGTGGTGTTCCAATCCCAGAACTGTCCAGTGCTACTGGTTCCCCAGATAGGTTTCTGAATCTGAGGAACGAATTTTGCTGCACCTCCTGGGTCTTGATCATCTTCAAAGGTGACTCCTTTAATGGTGTGCGCTTGTTTTCCACCACAATTTATATGCAACGAGTACTGATCTATTCAGTAGCAAGCAACAGAGATATGACATCATAAAAATTCTAATCAGATGAAATCAAATATTTGACTACATAAAAAACAAATTAGAAAGT